CATCATGGCTGCCCTATATGGTTAGCCCCCTCAAAACATCAAAACTAGGCTACTGTAATGTTCCCCACATAGAGTTGGCCTTGAAAATAGTACAGAACATTAGCAGGTTCAAAACGCAGCTGCTAGACTTGGATTAATACATTTAATCATATACCCCCGGTCTTGGCGTGCCTTCACCAGCTCCCTGTCAGTTTCTGTGCTCAATGCAATTTAACAGTATAGGATCTCAATACTTCTTGGAACATCTCTCCAGAAATCAGCTACCCATGTCACTCACTCTTCTCAATTCATGATGCTAAATGGACCAGAAAGGTGAAAGCAAGGAATTACTTTCTCAGTGGTGGCCCCCATTCTCTGGAATAGGTTAGCAGCAGAGATACTCGTGGCGCAGTGGTTAAAACGCTGTACTGCAGCTAAAACTGTGCTCACGACCTGGGGTTCAAATCCCAGGTAGCCGGCTCAAGGTTGACTCAGCCTTCCATCCTTCCGAGGTCGGTAAAATGAGTACCCAGCTTGCTGGGGGGGCAATGTGTAGCCTTTATAATTAAAATTGTAAACCGCCCGGAGAGTGCTCGTAGCGCTATGGGGCGGTATATAAGTCCAATAAATAAATAAATAAATAAATAAATACAGCAGGCTCCTTCCTTTCTTCTTTCATTTCAGGAAATCATTAAAATCAGAACTATTCAAATCTGGCTTTAATGTCCGTGTCTCTCAGATGCCATTAGTATTAATATATTTCTTTCTCTTTTTAAAATGATTTTTTAAAATCACATTGTTATATATACCGCCATGTGAAATCTCCAGGATTTGTAAGTTTTATCTTGTAAACTGCCCAGAGTAGTGGTGCAGTATATAAATCAAAATTTTAAAATCACACATCTAATTGATGGTAAACCAATAATGTACAAATGATTCACATAGTGCCTACATGTTTGTTGATATTTCAAGTGAATCACTGTGACACACATCCCTTGCCCAGTTGTTTTGGAACATAACTAGAACTGGCACAATCAGTCTGCATCCTGAAAGTGGGTAAAACTTTATAAAGCAAAGTGTGCTGCTTATATACCGCCCCATAACGCTTCAAGCACTCTCTGGGCGGTTTACAGTACAAGTTAATTAGGCAGGCTACACATTGTCCCCCCAAGCAAGCTGGGTACTTATTTTACCGACCCTGGAAGGATAGAAGGCTGAGTCAACCTTGAGCCGGCTGCCTGGGATTGAACCCCAGGTTGTGAGCACAGTTTTAGCTGCAGTACAGCGGTTTAACCACTGCGCCACTTAGGGCTCTAAGAAATGACACTAATATTTCATTCATAAAGACTTATTCTCACAACTTGTTGCCCTCTAGATGTTACTGGACTAAAACTCTCAGCATCCCTCATCTTTGATTATAATGGCCAGGGCTCATGGGAATCACTATATGCACAACTAACCTAGAGCATACAGATTGGGGCATATCTCAACTAGAATAGGACCGTCTCTGTACCTGGATGTGGCACAGTTCCCTGGCTAAATTTTTTTTAACAGGAGGGTAATTCTGCCATGGAATTCCATTTCTATAAATGCTTATACACTACTCAGTGCTTATTCCTGATTTGGGTATTATTTGGCTGGATAATATGGCTTCTATTCCCAAATCCCTAGCATGAAGTCAAGGTTGGATTTCTGCACTTCTGTGTGATGCTCTTTTCTGTTCCTCACCTCATTAGGCAAGTGGCAAAGAACACAATTAAATCAGCGTGCGTCTGAGAATGCTCTAGTATGCCCTAGAGCAACAATTATCTTTTACTAATGATTTAACCTTTAGTGTCATCATCTAATCTATTACTTGCCGTCATGAATTATACCAATATTGTTGTTTTATTTTATATTGTTGCGAAGCTGGAGTGTCCTCTCCAGAGCGCAAAGCCTGGGTAGAATAATATGGAGGATAGGCTGTTACCCAAGCAGCAACCCCCCCCCCACGTCACTGAAATAGTCCAATGGAAAGGCAAGAGTCAATATAATTGGTTCCAGCGACGTTGCAGGAGTTGCCAGAACAGCATGAACTGCCTCCAGGACTCCGGCTCTGGATTTTGCCTCGAGGTTGACTCCTGAAGCCTTTTCCATCAGTGGATATAGCCACAAGGCAGTGGAGGTTTGAAATCGGAGTTTTCCTTCTCCTAGTTGGGCTGCCTTCCAAAGCTGACAAGCCTCTCCTACCCTCTACTTTTGAAGAGACACTTGTCCAGCATACCAAGGCAAAGAGGCAATCCCGAAACCAGCAAAATCAGGGAGTTGGACAGGGGACAGATTGTCTTTGTCCTCAATGTGGAAGGGATTGTCACTCTTGAATTGGCCTTCTCAGCCACACTAGACGCTGTTCCAAGTCCTGTATTCAGAGCACCTTACCATAGTATCTCGAGACTGAAAGATGCCATACATGGTATAGGTTAAGGCTAAAATGGGATTTATGAATGGGATTTGTAGTCATGGAATATTGTAGAAGGAATCCATATCGGTTCTGTGTAGTATGACTGTATGCTTCGAGAAGCTTTCTCTCCTCGAGTTGGATGGGATTTTCCATGTAGCTGCCTTGGCCAGAGACGACAAGGAGCCAAGACACAACACAGAGATGAGGACAACACCACCTGCACATCCAGTGGGAAATGGAGGTGGAGCGTGAAGAGACAGCCCTCTACACTGATTGGTTAACATCACAGAAGAGTGGAGAAGGAGGGTGGTCCCAGTAAGGAAGAAAAATGGAGAATGGAGTCAGAGAGACAGCTTGATTTTTAGTATTGATTTTAGGATGGAGTTTTGAGTTCCAAATGCTAGATTTTACTGTTATGCTAGGAGGTAGTTCAGGGAAAGGATAGAGGAGGGGGGCCATGCCTATACTGCCTTCTAAGCTATTTTTAAAGTTTTTTATTTTATTTTTGTAGCTGGAATTTAAGATTCTAACTGCAATGCTTTATGGAAATGTATTTGATGCTCTGCTTTTGCAACTGAATATCTCTAAAGGAAATCAACCCCGAGTGCTCATTGGAAGGACAGATCCTGAAGCTGAGGCTCCAGTACTTTGGCCATCTCATGAGAAGAGAAGACTCCTTGGAAAAGACTTTGATGTTGGGAAAGTGTGAAGGCAAGAGGAGAAGGGGACGACCGAGGATGAGATGGTTGGACAGTGTCATCGAAGCAACCAACATGAATTTGACACAACTCCAGGAGGCGGTGGAAGATAGGAGGGCCTGGCGTGCTCTGGTCCATGGGGTCACGAAGAGTCAGACACGACTAAACGACTGAACACACATACATCTCTAATTACTTAATTTTTCTAATAAAACAATAATTCTTAAAAATCCTAAGTTTGGTCCCTTGAACAGCAAATCTGCATGCCTTATAGTAAAAGGCCACAGAGAAGCTACCAGAGTCCTTTTTTGGCCTGAGTTTTGTCTTGGCAGACTCCAAAACTCATGATTTCTGTCTTTGTTTTTTTATCTTTTAATTGCTCATTAGAACAGACTTGGGGAAAGGGTAAGTGGTACCGCCTGGCTGGGTTACCGGACTCTGCTCAGCTTAATTAGGAGTGCACTTACGCCCAGACCCTCTCTGTTCGACCATCAAGTGATCTTTAAGGAGGTTGACAATGCCTAATCTAAATTTAAATATTTATGTTTTTATTTTCTGGATCGTTGTTAACCGCCCAGAGTAGACTTCAGTCTAGATGGGCAGGGTATAAATTAAATAAATAAATCTGCCAGGAAGGCTGAGCCCTGTTAAATATACACTTTGTACACATATGAACTCTGTAACGTGTAGCTGTACAGCAGACAATAGTTTCCTCACTACAGAAAGATGGAAATCCTCTTTCAGCCCAAGACCCAAGTTCAGTTTTAGAGAAAGTTTTAGGGCTGCATTCCAGTGGCAGGTTTAATATATCAGCAGAAAAATGTCAGCCTGTTTTAGCTTAAACCAGTTACTGCCAGTTAAGCAGGCTTTGAGAGAAGTGTTTCAACCTTTCAGAATGGAAAAAAATGCAAAAGCTGGGAAACCATCAAATGATGAAATCATGGGCAAGGGGGTATAGCTTCCTTGCAAACTACAGAGAGCTACACTGGGACATTAAGCAGTCAGATTTCTCCCCAGTGCCTAACGTTTTCCATCTTAGCTAAAACCTTGAAAAACAGCTTATTTACAGAATGACTGGCAAAAGTCTGCCATCTCACTAAGGCGCACATACCAAAGTCAAGCATGAACAGTAGCCTCCACTCTATTTGGAATTACAGATATTACATAAGCACATTTTATAGGGAGCTGCTGAACGAGTTTTGGAGAGCAGTCCAAACAAAGCCTTTCCTCCAAATCAGCGACTAACAATTTTCTTGTGGTAGCCCAGGGCTGAATAGGGCCAAATAAACCTTGTACTCCACAACTAGCAGATCAGTGTAGTTTCACACACCAAAATCAGGATTCCAAGCTGTGAATTGCAGCTATTTTTTAAGACTCAAACTACGTCTTGGATAACAGCTATGTGAAAAATGGCTTAGTCACTTATAGATGCTATAATTTCCTAAAGACCCTTTGGAGAGTGCAGTTTCCATCACTCGGTATCAGGAATCAGCAAATTTCATTTTTAAGTGAGAAACCACAAAAGGTCTTGTAAAAAAAATGGAAGTTTACAGAAAAGCCTCTTTGTGCTCTCTAACAGCCATTTAAAAAGCCAACACAAATGCAGGAGTATGATGTGGCCAGAGGTACTGCCGCCAAAACAATGGCAAAACGCCCCCTCTGCCTGCAGAGCCCTTTCCTTTCAACTGATTTAAATTTTGGGGTAAAGGTGCTAGGGAGCCTCAGCAATGCCAGCAGATGGCACTGGGACACATGTTCCCACTTCCTACAATAAATATTTCTGCTTATCATTTAACCCCAACCTCATTCAGTCTAGATATATATTTTGCTAAAACATGGCACCTTGTGGTCAGAAGGAACAAACTGCAACACACCAACAGACATTTTAGTCGTGTACAAAATATTTTATTTTGCCCATACACATTAAGCCATAAATTCATATGGAATTGGTTCCAGCAGCTCTGGCTCTTTGCCATTGGTTCTCACAAAGTGAGCTTCTCTTGGAGGAGCAGGCTGAAAAGAAGGCACAAAAAGGAGGAGAAGTGAGTTACAAATCAGTAAAATATAATACATACCTTCAAACTAGCTTTCTCCTTTCAATAACAGTGAGAGGTTTGAACTGGCTGCACCATCACCTTTATTACAATTACTGTACACATTTATTGCATACTCCACATGTGTTTCTTCCTCTTCCTCTCATCCACAAAGCATTCTTTGCTTGCTATGGTCAACGGACACATTCTCTCATCAGAAATAAGGCTTCTTACCCTTAAAATTGAAAACTTCACTGCATGTTTCCAGAAATTTGCAGGTGTACAATTCCTATCATTTCAGCTAAAGTACTAAATGAAGTAGCCTCTTCCCTCACCCAAAAACTAACAGAAGGCTTGCTTTAGCACAAGGCTTATTAGACACCTACTCTTAGACAACATCTCAATACATTACCTGGCGTTTTAATTCAAACCACGTGCCCTTCTCTTTTGCCTCCTTCTTCTTCCTTTCATTTTCTTTCACTCGTTGCAAGAAGCTATCTCTGCTCTTAGAGTGCTTAATATGCTCAATCCGCACATTAATTCTCTTGGCGAGAATCTTGCCCCTAGAAAGAAAACACCAAGTTTGAGTGTCACGCTTTTCATGAGGAACCTGAGCAAGAAGCCAGGTTTTGGGATGAAGTGATTATCTTATGCTTGTACTCTTGGTACCAAAGATGAGGCAATACCAGGAAGATCTCTTTTCTGGATCAACTTTGGATTACGGTGAGAACAGGTTCACACTCTGCAGACTCTTAAAATATCTGTTTCCTCTGACAGGATCCAAGGCAGTTAAATATAAACTGGCTGGGTTTTAAAAGGATATTCTCTGTACCCCACCTGAATGGCCAATGGAGACAAGAACTGTCTACATGGCAAAGTGAAGTGGGAGACAAAGCACAGTACAAGTTTAGTCTTGAAAAATGTACTTACTTAACCTTCTTGTTCACAATAATGCCCACCGCATGCTGAGTAATGTTGTACACCCTTCCTGTCTTGCCATGGTAGCATTTGTGGGGCATGCCTTTTTGAATTGTGCCCATACCCTGTTAATAGAAAAAAAGTTGTAAAATACACAAGCCATCATCCTACAAATATTAGTGAAAAAATATGTATAAACTAAAGAAATTGCAGCCATTAGTTCATTAGAAAACTGATGGGGCAAATGCCTGAAATATAACACCTTAGCAAAAGTATATGTCAAATTTTTTTTATAAGAATGGTCTTATAATCTGAATCCCTTTTAGCATATTTATTGCACAGTTCCAAGGCCTCCAGTTGATAAAAGCAATTCCTATGGTCTGGGCTAAACCCACTATTTCCTATTGAATGTCTTCCATTGCTTTTCCATACACATATTAGCAAAATTTATACAGGTGCATGGATTTATCAAAACATACCCTTGCCTGTCTCAATAAGCAAATATAACTTGTACAGCCCATGAGCCACAGCTGTTATTCATTTCCATCTTAGGAGACAAACAATAAAATTAATTGTGCTTGAGCAGGGGGCTGGATTGAGTGGCCATGTAGGCCCCTTCCAACTCTATTATTCTATGTGATTCACAGCTGAATAACATCTCTGGCTTGCTTTCAGTGCCGGTGAAATGATTTGTTCACTTTGCTATAACAAAGGCAATCATAGGAGACAGTCATCATCAAGCTCCAGAGTGTCAAGGTTTGAAAAGATTTTCATTGGCAATTCTTTTAGAAGTCAAGAAACTGAACATTCAGTAAATTTTGCATCAGTGGCAACTGTGATGCTTTGAAAAGGGTGATTTCGAACAAGTTGAGATACTGAAACTATTTCACTAAAGCTTTTTGGGAAAAACCAGTATCAAGAGAAAAACTGAGATTTTTACTGAAGAAGTTTCAATATACACATGCACTAAGATTTGCTGGAAAGATGGCACTTCTTTCCCTTTGTATATTTTTCAGGTTACAGTATTCAGTAGCAGAAGCTATCCATATATGATAGCAAATGAAGCATTTAATACTTTAGGGCAATTGACTTACATTAACTGGCATTTGAATCTGAATTCTAATTTTGTATAACACAAAGAGTTCCACAAGGCAGTCTTATATTTAAGAATTTACTTTTAAAGAAAAATACCTTGATATCAACAATATCACCCTTCTTATAGATGCGCATGTAGGTAGCAAGAGGAACAACACCTATAAGAAAAAATGTAATCAGTCAGTTTTACTGAAATTTTGCAGTAATTCAAAAACATAAGCACTACAACCAGAAATCACTCTGGAACCATTCATAAGTATTAACAGAAAATCTGCTAGTATAAACTGTGCTGGAGACAGCAACAAACTGGTAACCCATTAATATATTAAGGAATTCTAAAGCTGTGAAAGCCCAGACTGTACATCAAGGATAGACTGGGGCCCATTTTATTTCCTCCAAATATGGACCACATCCCCTCCCCCAAATACAGTATTTATGCCTTCATGAAAACTAGAAGTAAACAGGATTTCAATTCTGAGTTTGAAAAAAAGCACAAAAATACCCACCCCATCCAAGTCACTAAAGTGAGGTTTTACCCTGGAAGCTTCCATTCTTCTTTTTATATATAAAAGAATATATAAAAAGAATGGCAGCTGCTGGAAACTTCCAGGATAAAACATCACTTTAGTGACTTGGATAGGGTGGGTATTTTTGTGCTTTTTTTCAAATAAATAATATATATATGGCATAGCACTGGAATTAGGAGTCTTAAAAGATGAGGGTGATGCACATGCAGCTTGTGAGTCCTGCAGGTACTGCATCTAAGCACTTCCTCTTTTTCAAACCCTTCAACTGCATGATACTCCATAAAGATTTCCATGTTTTTCTTCACAGATAGCTATGGAATAAGCACTACGTCAATGATGCTTCAAAATCAATCAATAACACACTGACTTTGGCATGTGAGGGCTTACTACATACAACATGCCTTCCTGCAGAGCTTGCGCCAAATAATTAAATGGCTCCAATCAACAGCTTAATTCCTGAGTCAGCTACTGGGGGGAAAAAAAGAACCCACTGACCAGATTAAATGGCTCAACAAATATTAATTACCATGTTTGCGGAAGGGTCTTGAGAACATGTAACGGGTCCCCCTCCTCTTCCCCTTTGTGTTGGTCATCTTTGCAGATTACTGGAAAAGAAAAGAAAACATTACAATGTACAAAAATGCCTTTTACAGAAGTGTTGGATGAAGCTTCTTTTGGATGTTAGGTGTATGACAAAACAAAGAAACATGTAGAAAGCCTTTTTGAATTTACACTTGCAGCACCTCGAAGGGCAGTACCAAATGCCTGCATATACATATAGGATGAAGAGGATACTAGTCTTCTTGATCAATCCCTGACATATCAGCCACATAAGTAACGCTCATAAACAGTGACAAGAGACTCCACAAGTCTGGCAATGATACAGAACAAAGGTGGGCAGATTATGAAGGTTTGGAAAGCTGCACCATTTCACCCTGAATCGAGGCTAGAGTCTTTATGTTAACTAGGGCAACAGCATATTTTCAATTTGGCCTGCAGCTTGAGTTCTATCCTCACCCTACAAAAAGACACCAAAAGTGATAGCACAACTTCCTGGGCAACTATATCATGTGTACTTACATTTATTTTAAGTTGTTTAGTACTTATTAACTGCTTTTCTTTTCATGCAAAAATGCATTTCAGGGCCCTACATATCTTAATTACATTAGAAAGTATTCAGATGAAATATTTACTTTGCATTCTTCAGACAATGTTTTGTATTATTATTTGTCTCAACAGTTAGGGAATGCTCACACAATAATCACAAGTCTATGCTATTCCATTAGATAGGTCTATACTCCTGCCACTCAATGCTGCTTCCTTTCAAGCTGGGTTGCACGTAGTTGTAATATACACACAGGAAAGCTTCATTATACTGGGTTAGAAGATGGGCCCATCTTCCTCACCAGGTTGGGGATCACGTGGCTTCTCAATGTTATCACAATGCAATTTCCATCAACCTTTGCCAGCACAGTAAATGGTTTAGGCTGATGGGAACTTTAGACCAACATCTGGAAAGTTACACATTACAGCCTTAGTGCACACTGCCTGATAATAGTTCTCTTAACTTTTAAGGAAGTTTTTCCCAGCCCTATCTAAAGACACCAAAGATTGAATCTAAGATATTCTGCACACAAAGCACATGCTCTACAACTGAACTAAAAGCCACCCTCTGCAAACATGCAGCCTCTTTTTGTGATGTACTGGACCCAAATGTTAGCCAACTACTTGAAACCTTATTCTGCATCTTCTGTTCACAAGTTCCTTAGGGTGTATTTCTGTTAAGTTTCTCACTGCACCCCAGCATCCAAGTAATAGTGCCAGAGCAGAATACTAAAGCAACTCAAAGTTATTTAGATCATTAAGTTTTGCTACCCAAGACCTTTCAGAAGCCTTCTAGTAGAATTAGGACAGTATATGGGATTGCATTCCTCCCCAGAGGAACAAAATATTTTAGAGAATCACAACTGACAGAGAACTTTTGGCCTTTATCACATGAAATTCCAGAGAAAGAGTTTAATATGCAACTCTCCTTCCTAGATAATTCAGCCCATGATAAACTTTTGCCATATACAGGAGAGGGATAAGAGCTCAGCAATATAGCACATGTGGGCAAAACATGTGCTCAACCCACAAAATTACAAACCCCTCCTATTCCACCAGAATCAGTTTTCACAGTGGATTATTTCCCCTAAGAGGACAGCCACTGTCAGCCAAATTAGAAAGACAAAGCTACACACATAAATCTCTGTGAAGCTGAACAATTATTGGCTTAGTGCTATCAATACTAAAGGGACTCAGAGAGGAGACCTTTCCAGACCTTCAACCTTAGATCGATCTGAAGTCCGGCAAAGTCACTTTAGGGGAATACAACTTTCAAAGCACACTCTTAATAACACATATCAATAAAATGTTAAGAGACTTTTAAGCAACGGCTGTGATGGAAGCTGAAACCTCATGCATGCAATCCATCTCCTAAACTACAAAACTCTTATTTTCCTTCCAAGCACATAAAAAATCCCTAAACTGCAAATCCCTACTCTTCCATACGCATGGATCAGATTTCACAAGGAAAAGGAATTCCTTTGGGACCAAAAAAATGAATGTATTTAAGAAAAAGAAAGGGGGAAGGCGGGAAATTTATGCCTTTGCCATAAAACCTTCGCGTGTGAATCGCCCTCGTTCCCCGCAGCCTCTTTCAGCTCAATACAGCTTATTCATCATCCTCCTTCGCGACTCATCATCACCCTTTCAGACCTACTTGGTCTTTCGGGCCCATTTCCATTACCAACCTTGCTTTGGTACTTCTCCTACTCCGTCGCCCTCCCAGACCTGCCCTCGCAAACAACCCAGTTTTGCGACCCCTTTCGCGCCCCTAGCCGTGCCACAACCCCCGACAGACTCGCTGGAAATGGCAATCAAACGGGCGAAAGAACCACCAACCAGCCTCCCCGTGTACCTGTAAAATGGCGTCCGAGGACGAAAAGAAAGAGGGCGCGGCTTCGCCCAGCTCTCCATGCCTTCCGGCCCGGACGGGACCTAAACTATTTCCGTCTGTCTACACAAATTGCCTGATTGGGGGAAAAAAGGCGGCTGTCGTCAAAACGTAAACTACAACGAGACACGAAAGACGAAAAAAAGGGACAGAGACACTTAGTGGAAAAATAAATATCTTCACCACCACCACAGATTGTGTTCTCATTGAATCAGGCACTTATAAAAAAAGATGCTGACCAAGGACCCCACACGCAAAAAGGGGGCGGGGCGCGGAGAAAGGTTGAGTGGATTTCCTCTCGTGTGAGCCATAGAGATCGCATGGGATTGTTAAGGGCAGGTTGCTACCGTCGGCCATGTTGACTTCGGGCCCCTATTCGCTGACTTTTGTGGGGCAAGCCCGGTGAATCGCTCAGGCTTTGTGAAACTTTTTTCTTTTTTACATATCTATCCCGCCTTTCCTCTATTCAGCAACAGACCGTATAGTTGACGAGTCGGAGAACTGGCCGGAGAGCTTGTATTGTGGATGTCAGCAGACGGTTCAAACTGGGGGGCCCAGAAGTTTTTGGACTGCAATTCCCAGAAGCTTGGTGTGCTAGCCAGGATTCTGGGAGTTGTAGTCCAAGAACATCTGGGGACCCCAGCTTAGATTGCTTTTTGAAGTGCTGCCAACATGGTCAGGTTTGCTCTACAATGGTTCCCAGCCTTGGGTGCCCAGATGTTCTTGGACTGCCAGAAATCCTGGCCAGCACAGCTAATGGTGAAGGTTTCTAGAAATTGTAGTCCAGGAACATCTGGGGACCCAAGGATGGGAACCACTGCTCAATTTGCTGATGACTGGACAGCATACTCCAAATTGTGAACCAGGCCAACCCTGCCATCCAGGATTTTTTTTAAATCCGGCAGAAGGGTTGCTTTAAGGAGATTGCACTCTCAAAGCAACCCCTTTCCAGCGCAATCCAATGCCATTTTTATGTCACTGATCGCACCCAAAATTTGGTGCTCGATGAAGACTTCGATCTGGACTTCCAACGTCCGAGTTCTGTCACTGAAATCACTGCCCACTAACTTGTTTCCTATTAGTGTGAGAAAATCATTGGCAAATGCAGCAGCCTTCTCTGCTAAAACACCAACAGTTCAAACTCCAAAGTCTAACCTTAAAGTGCCTTCCTTTATGCTAGTCATTCCCATTCTAAGGGTGCAAGTATGCTGTACTGGGGGAGTGCTCTTACAATAAATCTATCCTCTACCCTGCTTGACATGGCCTGGGTGTATTCCAGAGTGATAGACTGTAAAATCTGAATGTCATTATTTGTTTATTATTGCAAATTTATACTGCTTTTCCAGTAGTAAAGAAACAATACACAAGGTGACTAACTTTATAAACAGACCGGAATAAACAAAGCAATTAAAATCGGGCCAGTTCATCAAATTAGTAGAAAGCAGTAATGAAACTGGATCTGCAGATTAAAATGTTTCAGTGTATTCTCTCTCAGCAGTATTACTGCCTGCACAATCTCTTTGAATGAGATCTGAGAAGGATTTGCAGAAACTGCCAGTTGCAGGATGGGCATAATGTCATTAGTTGTCAGGTGGGTGGGCTCAGTTTGCATGGGACTGATGAGGAATTTTATAATCTGTATTGCCGTATTGCCCAATGATGGCAATAGTATAGTATTTCTTTGGACCTGTGCTGATGACTTCAAAGGCTTTAGTTAAGAAAACAACTAGGTAATAGCAATGTGACATCTGTCCATTCCTGTTCTAGATTATACTGAAAAATGCCCCCACTATCAACCTTTATGCTTGGTCAATGGTAGGGCTGGGAACTAATTATTTTATTTCTGTCCTTTTGTGCCTCCTGCAATCCGAGGAGGAGAAAGGACAGTATATATTTGCTGCAATTGAACAATTTTCTCTTTCACAACAGGCTTTCCTCAGAGATATGTACATCAGCAATCAGATTTGCAAATTGCTTCTAATGACCAATCACAACACTCACACATACACACACACACAGAGAGAGAGAGAGAGAGAGAGAGAGAGACTTTCAGTGACAGCAGGGAGAGACTCTTGAAGAGAAGTAGCTCTGCTCCTATTCTTCCCGTAGTTGTCATTTTCTCTGAGGGAAGGAAAACAGGATGTCCTGTGATACCATTGCTTGATACCATTGAGAGTACCTGGTGATCTAGATCTATAATTATAAAGACAATATGTTCCACCTCTTAATCTGACTTTTCCCCCTGAATCCCTTTTATCACCTCCCAACCTTATTATGGTTACAAATGTGACAGACATGTATTACAAGATCAAATTAAAAGAATATCAGGTGTTTCAGTTTAAACTCAACACAGTGGAGTATGTCTGAAATATAGGTGGTGTTTCTTCATTTGGGCTATGACCCCAGTCCCTTCAATGGACTGTGCATTTGGACATACAAGGAATTTTGATGGAGGTCAGCAGTATTACTGAATTTGGAATTACTGAATGTACAGTATTTAAGACAAAACAAGACACTTCTGTTCAAAAGCTTCAGTGTCCTGAGACTAGAAAAGGGGGATTATAATGTTGATTTGCCAAGATAATTATTGTATTATTATGATCTTTTGTTGAAAGGCATTGCAGTTATTTGGAAAATCCTAACATTTGGCAATTTTATAAATCAATTTCATAGATTTTTAACCAAGGTAATATTTTATTTCTAAAAATAACAAAATCAAAGCTTAGGAGACACCTTCTGTTCTACTTTATGGCACCCTAATCCTTGTTTGCAGCTGAACACGTTATTATGTAGACCTTTTATGGCATACTTTCAATTTGGTTTCAACGCAAGGTTGTGTATACTTAATTCAGAAATAAACTTCACTGTATTCAATGGAAGTAAGAACCAAGTAAGCATACACAGGATTGCCGCCTTAATTGTTCTTCAATTGCTGATTTTAGGATCTTTAATGAGTACACAATTATAGCTCCTGACTTAAGAACTGACAGGTAGTTTATTTTTAAGACATTTAAATTAAATTCAAAAATCATATTGCTTAGTGTGGTAAGTGGCACTAGAGTAGGCCCACTGAATCAATTTGAGTTTGGTGGGTCAATTCCTCCGTAAATTCCATTGATTCAAAGGGACCTACTTTTAACTGTGAATTACTGTGTTAAAGTAAGTCACAGGCCGAAAAGGCCCATTTGAATCAATGGGACTTAAAGAAGAGTTGACTCACCAAATTCCTACTGTCAATGGGACTACTTTAGTGGGATTTATTATGCTCAGCGATGGAATTTTGACCATTGTGTGAAGCAAGAGATGCCCATCTTTTATAAAGATATCTCTGAGCTTAAAAGGTGAAAATCCACATTTTGAAACTGGTTGATTATCTGCTTGTACAAATTAATTTTAATACTCATTTTGTTTGTGAATAATATTCCTAAAATAAAGAAAATTTAAAAATATATAAAACTCATTGTTAATCCATAATGGCCAGAATCCTTTGGGAGACTTATACCAGTTTATGTGTATGTAACCACATAACTTGCAGTAGCAAATTGATTCTACTTGGTAAGTTGCTGTTCACATTCATGATAACATGCCAAATTGCACCATTGGTATGCAACTGGAAATGCAAATGGCAACTCATTAATTATTAACATATTATGGCAGTGTTAATCCCTAATATGATTCTGACCAATATTTGTCCAGTGTGAAATACATAGAAAGGAGTGTTACACCTCTGATAAAATTATTGTTACTTCCATTCCAAAGTCACATTGCTCCAATATACGGGAGTTGTTAATTACCACAAATTACTGTTTCCTGAAAGCTTTAAGGCAGGAGTAAGCGAAGATAATGGAATATTTAGTCTTGGAAATGTTAAAATACTTGCAAAGGGACAAATATATTACTTACATTTCAGATTCAAAACAACTATCATTTCATTGTAATTTCAAAACAACTATCATTGCTATGGGTCATATGCAGCTGTGGAAAACATTTTTACACTTTTATTACACCTGTGGTACATATAGATAAACAAGGCTCATATTGACTGAATGTGGTCATCAGTAATACATCTGTAGTTAATACAGAATTTGATTTTTAAATTTAGCCAGATGGGATTTTTAAATTAACTGACCATCAGCAAGCAAGAAAACAATTACAGATTTTCTAGAGCAAATAGTATCACAAGACAAGAAGCTCATCAAAACTTTTCTTGACAAAAAAAAAAGCCAGCTTTGTGTATTAATTGATTGTAGCATACACATAATAATAAGACCACAATCATCAAAAAGAACTAGCTGTGACTTGTACATATTTGCTGTGACCAAAGAAATTACACCAGACATCAGCATTTCATGTGCCAAATCACTCCAGCCGAGTCCCCCAAAAGGGTAGTTCTGCCACAGGACCAAAAGGGCCCATCTCTGAGAAGGATCATAGTTGGTCTGGTTCATGATCTCCCGTATGTTGGGTGAGATGCAAGAAATACAGGCTTTCCTCATTTGATTGCACCCTCAATGGCCGAAATCCTGTTGCTTTAACTTATACTGGCCAATGCTGATAACATTGTTGACTGCAGCAATTATTTTTAAAATTAAAAGTTTCTGGTTCTCCACCACCACCACCACCCTATAGGTCCCAAGGCTTCCTTGGTAAGCTGTTGGAGACCATGAGATAGAGGAAAGTCTTTAATTTCCAAAAAATTACTGCCGGCAGGATGAGTTTGCAACCAGTGAGGATTTTCAGAAACTAAAGAATTCCTCACCCCATACAGGTCTTAAAATGGCTTCCTCACAACAAAAGGTATCCCAAGGAACTTGTAAGGGAGGGCATGTAAAGAGGGAGAAGAATTGGAAACATTTAGATTCTGAAAAATTGAGACAGCTGATTATGTCATCAGCCTTACGTGGTGTAGGTTATGCAACAGGATTTCAGCCTTTCTTAATGTCTGAAAAGATATGTGGACTATAACTTATTTAACTGTTGTTAAATAGTGTTCATTAGCTGTATTTTATCACTATCTTTTTTATATTTTGAAAAT